AGATTGTTTAAAGCTAAAAGTAGCTTAGCTTAAGAAGAGAAAAACATTCAGCTGAAGCAGAATTCAGACAAAATGTTTCTGAAGAAAATATTTGTAAACAAAGTAAAAATAATTCTAAAAGTATAAAATTTATAAAATCTAAAAGTCACAGCATACAGCTGTAGAATGAGCCGAACATTTTCACACACGAACAGCTGAAACAGCACAAAGTCTACAGAACTAGCTGGACTGTGAATAAACGCAGTGATGAAACTAGGAAGAGGAAAACGCTGAGTCAGCGTTAAACTCGGGGTCCGCTGCAGACTCTCACCGATCTTGTCCACCAGAGCTGTGACGATGGACAGAGGAGACCTCTTCAGCTCAGGGTTGTGGGTGTGGGAGTAAGAGATGAGGACTGAGGAAGAGGAGGAGACCTTCATCAGTGTCTGACGGACAAACTTCCTGTTTCACCTGAACAGAAAGCTTCACCTGCCAAACTGTCCAGGTCCTCCAGGATTCTGCCGAACCTGAGACGAGACGTGAAACCGGTCAGTGGTTTGTTGTCCTGATGCCTGTTTGTTTGTTTGTTTGTTTGTTTGTTTGTTTGTTTGTTTGTTTACCTGACGGTGTTGTGATGGGTCAGGTACTTCTCTCGGAGCTGCGGCTCGGAGCCCAGAGGCAGGTGGACCTCCAGGTAGCTGTCCTTCATGCTCCGGGCAGGAAGTTCACCCTGAGACTTGGCCAACATGGAGGACAGCGCCGCTCGCTCCAACATGGCCTGCTGGTGGTCACTATGGTTACAGTAAACAACAACAAACAGCCCACTCTGAAGGTAAACATACAGGATTTACTTTACTCCTCCTCTAGTTACAATGTAAACTAAATTAAAGCTTGTTTTTCTGAGCTTCCCACAGATTAATACCTCCAGTTTGTTGAAGCTCCCACTATCTTCCTCAGCCTGTTCCTCACTGAAAGAAGACAAAACAAGCAAACRTTTGTGTTCAAACAGCTGCGTCTGCGAGAGGTTTGGAGTCACAAGGCTGYACGTTACAGACATTTAGACCAGAGGTCAGAGGCCTGAAGAAGAAAACTGCGTTAAATGAAGACTTAAACAGCGAGAACATTAAAATAAAAACTAAAGCTACAAGAAACAGGAAGAAACCAAAATAAAGAGCCAGATTAGGAGAAACCAGGTGTTTGAGCTGCAGGTGAGAGAAACATGCAGGAGGATTTCTTATGAAATTAAAGCCAATTAGAAGTGAATAAAGACGAGCTGCAGACTGGTTCTGATTTACCAACACACCGTTTGACACGTGTAAAAGTGGGTTTCCTGTGGAGAAAGGCAAATGATTACAACAMGCATTAAACATTTATAACACAAATCTGTCCAAATTCAAAGTTAGCGTCTCCTTCAGCCCAGCTGTCTGTTTCTGCTTCAGTCATTTTCAGATTAATCTGGTGTTTGATTAATGACTGGTTCAGATTCTGGTCTCTGTGGAGAGTTTATGGGTCAGGCTTGGSTTTACCCTCCTCCATGTCCGGGGCTCTGCCCGGTCTGGATGCTGCTCCTGTGCAGAGGGACCGACTCATCATGGAGGCAGCAGAGCGCAGCATCACTAACCTGCAGAACAAAAACACAATATTTATAAAATGTTTGTCATGTTAGCATAACTGTGAACAGAGTTTTCTGTTTGTTTAAGTGGGTTTGCTTCTTTTGTGGGTCTGAAAGTGACGCAACACCATGTGTAACACCCTGCTTTATATAATAACGTAAAGAAGGAAGAAAAAATAATGTTCAGTTATCATTATTACAACTTAAGCTAACTATCTAACTGCTAGTTAGTTTTGAACTGTTAGCATTTTTTGTAGCTCCGGAGGACAGCCCGTATTTTCCCGGCACTGACCTCGATGACATCATCATGTTGTTTACGGGTCACGGGTGTGAAAAGTTCGGGGGTCCGGACCGGACGGAGCAGGTGAGACCACTGGAAAAGAAGACAGAAACAAGAAATCTTCTTATTTTCTCTGGTGGACAGAGCGCCGCAAAACACACAGAACGTTTCCGCCTTTTTACGTCAAGACGTTTTCTACGTGATGACGCAAGACGCTTGGCTTACGAACCTTTGGACCCTGAGTACAGACTGTCAGGCACAGGGAGCTGCATGTGAGCAGCTGGAAATCTACATAAACGTTTGGCTTAATGGGTTTAATAAATATATTCTTCTTATTAT